ATACATTCCCTCTCAGAATAGAGCAGTTATCTAAGGAAGAGAGGGACTGCCGTCTGTATGAACTTCTGATACAGCGACTTCTGGAAGGAATTCTTTATTGAATATGTCATTGAATATTCGTATATAACATTTTCCAAACTAGACATCCATCATTATCATTCTCAAAAATCCCCTTCCCTATCCTCACGTACAGTGCAGAAATTCTAAAATTTTAGCTAAAGGCTTACCCTCATAAAAAGTTGAATTCTGATGAAATGAGATCCACACCGAAAATTACAGAGTGGCCTGCATTTTATATAAATAGAAACGGATGGCAGTCGAGCTTTTGCTGTTTTTATTGAGAATCCTCAAACAAAAGAGAACGGACAAGCGGACGGACAGTGGCAGCTGCGGCAACCACAATGTGGCATCCACATCATCAGCACTAGCAGTGGCAGTGGCAGGCAGCAATAAAAACAAAACAAAAGCAATTATTAGCATAGTCATTAGCACTGCGCCGGCACCAGCAGCCGCGGGAATCCGCGAGTCCCCTCTGAACAAATCTCATAGAACATGAACAAAATTCCACAGAATCTGTGCTGCTAATTAGCAATGGGAAACAAAAAATACGCACATTCCGGAGTTCGATGGTGGAAATCAATCCTAATGCGGGCTTAGAAATAAATGGCTAAAATTCGTATTTATACATAATTCTTTTATGTACTTAATGTATTGGGTATATAAAAGTAGAGGAGATCCTGGCAACATAATTTAGGGCCCAACCCAACGGCCAATATCAAAATGCCCCAGCAGGCACTAGAACGTTAATGAGTGACTGAAGGCAGCTTTGACAGGAATGTTCAATGGAAAGTTTGAGAGGAATGTTCAATGTGAGAAAGAGAGCCGAATAGAGAGAGCAAATCGTGAGCAGGATGAATGTCCCACTCTAGCCAATAGAAGAGAGTGGGAAAGGAAAGATCACGCGATGTACGGCTCAAAAAGCAACGGTGCTTGGACATTTACTGTCCCACTGGCAGAGACGATGAAATAAATATATATGAAAAATAAATAAAGTAAAGGCAAACCCGAGTAAAGCAAAGATAAAACGAGACAAATAAAGACAAAAGTAAGATATAAAAGTGGCAGATTATTTATAAATTCAGTTAGCAAAATGAACCCCAAAAGAGACCCAAATGGGACCACCCACTCGGCGACCTTTTCTGTCTTGCGGGATTATTTGGCATTATTTTGCTTTTGTCTCTTCGGCAAAATCATAATCACAGTGAGGATAAAAAAAAATAAAAAAGGAGCTTCTAAGGAGCCTGCTGCAAATCATTTATTAAGCATAAGACGGGACCTGCTTCATCCTTCATCAGAGATGGGGCAGCACTCTTTTCTAGGACCTAAGCGAGCTCCTCCTTTACGCCCACTTTCGATTGTGTGTAAGCGGGGGCACACAAAATAATGACTAAGCCGAATCATGAAGAGGGAGCTGCTGCCGCATCATCCATGAGTGAAGACTATGAAGCTCTCTGCTGCATAAAAGAATGAATGTGAATGTGAATGAATGTGTGGGGTGCATGGAATGGGGCACACAACCAGGGCACTCAATGCATCATCATCTTAAGCCGCATCAAACGAGATTTGTCAGAGCTGCTGCCACTGCCTCTGATTCTGCGACTAAACAAAAGAAAGGGAGATGTGGAATATGAAATCCATGAAGAATGGACACCAGACTTAGAGTTCTAGGATCAGAGCTTAACAAAGCGAGGGGAAGGGTCTTTACATGAAGAACCTTATAGGAATTTAGTAGATTTCTAGAGCTTCCCATTAAAATCTACAATTTTGTTTACATTTAACCTTTATATGCCTCAATCGCGACCTCCATTAGCTGATCTTTCCACTCATCAATGCAACAGCACATGAGTTCCTCATTCAACTTTAATTAGCACAAATTAATGATCAAATCTGATTGGCTCGTTCTATCGTATAAATTCTCTCTCCTCAGAAGCTGTTATTCCAGTTTCTCCAGCCCATCCATCCATCCACTAATCAGAGCGTCTAATTATAAATTTATTAAATCAGAGAGTCACTGCAGTCCTCTCTCCCTTCTCTCCAGCAGTCGAGAATTCCTTGAAATGCAAAAAAAAAATTGGACAACTGGTTTGATGTTTGCATTCACCCCAAAATCAAACAAAAAACGTAGCATATATCAAGTGGCAGAAGCATGTTGCAGGCACACAATATGTTGCCAGCTGTACAATGGGCCACTTAAACGACAACAATAAAAAATTATTAGAATGCCGCAAAGGCAGGAGCGGTAAGAAGCACGAAGCCAGTAGATTCAGCAGTTAAGGACTCTGCCTCCTACCGGCGACTGAGCGCACTTCATAAATCTACCCAAAGGCATATGAAATACGAGTGTATCCTGTGCTGCTGCTGCTGCTGACTGCAGAGAGCCAATCATGTTGCATACATCCTAGGGAGGAAACAAACTGTACACTGAAAAAAGCTAGGAGGAAATAAACGAAATTATTGGGGAGAGCGCTTTAATTATGTAAATGTGTCCCATCGCTTATGGGAAGTTTTTTACAGCTAATTTGGGATCAATCGATGAATTTTTAATGGTGGAAGATTGGCTGACGGAGGAATCTAAGATATGAGTTGAAAATAAGTTTTCTTTCAGTGCATAAGAGAAAGAGCCCAAGAGAAGGACTTGTATCTACTTTTTCCTCTTTCTGCACACACGCAGGGAATTTTCCATTTGATTTATTAACAAGCTATCGTTTATCATGTGGACAACAAAGGGTTAACGTCAGTAAAGGCCCTTCTGCTGCTTCTTCTTCGGGAAGCTATGCCCTGACCAAAGGCAAAGGCAGCTGCAACGTTTTTTGGCGACCATTCCACAGCAATTGCCAATTTGTTGGATGTGGATGCCACTGCTTCCACAAGAGGCGGCACTGACCAAGCAGCTAAGGAGGCACAGCGGCACAAGTCCCGAAAAAATATTGTATCTGTGAGGCGGCAACGAAGATAAACAATCGCCGAAAGATAAACAGAGGCAGAAAGTCACGTAAAGTATGCGCCCAGAAATGCCGGAAAAAAAAGCAGCGTATAAAAACCAACACGGGAAAGCGGATGGCATTCCATTCCTCACCGATTATTTATGGGGCGGGGGTGGGAGGGGGTAGGCAGTCATGAGGTCTATAAAAATTAAGATATTTCCCATAAACTTTTCATACGCAAAAAGAGCGCAAAAAATGCCCATAACTTATGTTGAAAATATTTGTGTGTTTTTTGAAAATGCCACATGCCACACCGTACCCTAATATTTCTATAGACGTGGGGACTTCGAGGGAAAATCTTTGGCGTGTTGAAGCGTTAAGTTTCCTCCATGTGTGTGAGAGACAGGGGAGCAGAATGGAGAGAGAAGCAAACAAGTTGCACGATGGGAAAGGAGTCGCCAGTGGTCTCTAGAATCTAGAGCTCTGCACTACGTGGGTGCCGACGACGGTTGCCCGTTGTCCGTCCGACGGGGGTCTGGGGCCAAAGATAAAATGTTGACCAATAAATTTTCTGACCATGAACGACAAACACAGAGCAAAGGAGAGAGAGAGAGAGAGAGAGAGAGAGAGAGGGGAGGAGACAGCAAAGAAAAAGGAACACAGAGCATGGGGAATAATAATAAACAAGAATGATTAGGGGAAAGAGGAAGCACAACAAATATGGAATGCTCTCTCACTCTTACGCTCTCTTTTGATTGCGTAGAAAACTGTCAAAACAACAAATAAATAATGTTTCATTGAATAAGAGATAATATATTTAATGATTTTATCGATGAAGAATGAAAGAAATTTTGTTTAAAGATTATACTGGGATAACATGAGGACACTGAGATAAGAATCAATGAGACATTTAGAGACATTACGAAAAATACACCTTCGCAATGAACTTTAAATTATGGAGGAAATACTCTTCTATAAAACGAGATACTTAATGGAGAACCTTTATATTATCATACAAAAGTCCCATCATACCCATGGGACTCTCTCAATCTCTCTCTCTTTGTAAGGGTATCTTCGACAAATGTGGAAAAACTAGCGCGACCGGCGACGGCGGCAGGCAACTGATGTCCGAAGTCCAGCAAGCACCATGTCCCCGCCCCTGCTGCTGCTGGACCAAGTTCCATGACAAGTTAGGGGCCACGACGACGCCAGCGAAACGTGTGATGAAAGAAGAACGAAAAAGGAAGGTAAGAAAAAGGCAGGTAAGCTTTGAGGTAACCGAAGCATGACATACCCTTGCAGATCAATCATTCTTATGGGAGGTGTAACGATCGTTCATGTGTCAGCTGCCACACGAGGCAATACGAGTATATGAAATGCTGATCCAATCTACGCCTAAGCAACGCCAAGCCAAAACTATGCAACGCTGTGGTATCTTAATTGTTTTAAGAGAGAGAAGCTGATACATTTTTTAGATATTCCCCTTTAATGCACAGGAGATGCTTCATACTAAAGATTTCATTTTAACTGCAAAAAGACAATCGTATGAAAAAAATTAAGGAGTCTATGCTCAACTTGCCATACCTGCCCCCACTTGCTCCACAACAGGCCACAAGAGAACTGCAGGGATCGCTTTACTGCAGAAAATCCTACCCAAGAAATAAATCTAAGAGAAATCACTTCCACAGAATCCCACTGGCTGCCGAAAACAAAAGAATCGATGGAATATGGCTGCAGTGCGGTGCGGTGCGTGTGGAAAATTACCTGCCAAAGAAAGAGCCGCTGTCGTTACCGCCTGTCGCCGGCCACTAATTGATAAGCTTCCTATCTACAAAATGTATCTCTACACATTCGTATTCGTATACTCGAAATTCAGAGCACAGTTACAGTTACCGCCTCAAATTCGGAGCACTCGTGTTAGGTAAGTAATTAACTATGTAAATTTCAAGGGGAACGAGAAGGAGTGGGAGTGGGAGAAGGAAAATTGGGCAAACTTCTGCTGCCGCTTCTTCTTACCTGTCGCATCTGTGACGCACGGACGCTGTCGACGCCGACGCTGGCTTCGCTGGCTTACGCAGCAGCACAACTCCTCTCTCTTTTACTCTGTCTCTCTCGCCTACGCATCCAGCAGCACAGACACAAACGTGTTGCGCGCACACACATGTACGGGAGCAAGCACACCACTACCACTGCAGATTCGCACAGCTGGCAAATGCAACGAATGTGAGGCACAAAACAGAGATGCAGAGAACACAAAGCAAGAAAATAAAGAGTTATGTCAATTTCGCTGCTTCCGCTGCTGCTGCCAAACACTGGAATTACGGTTTGTTGTTGCTGCTGCTCCCGTTGCTTTTACTGTTGTTGTTTTTGTTGCTATTTGGCACGTGAATCGACAAGCGCATTTTCCGAATTCTTGCACACACTCATTCGCTTTTTGCATTTGTTTACGTCACCCACACACACGCACAAACACACAAACGTTCTCGTGAATGAAAGGCGCGTAACGTGCCAGAGAGAGAAACAAAAAGAAAAATTGGCAATCAATCGCCCGCCGCCGCTGCCACTGCCGCAGCGCTGCTGCAGCGTACCGCACGGAAATAAACAAAATTTATTTATAATTATTCAGTCGCGCACAAATCTTGAAGAATATTGTAATTAAATTTCGAACATTGAGCGGTAATTGGGCTAAATGTTGCAAAAAATCAGCAGCGTCGCAGGCAAAAATCGAAATTTCCACGGTCGTTGCTCGCCTTTGATCCCCGCGGTGACTCTTTGTTGATAAGCCTGGCCGATTAGCGCATCTCTCCGCACAGCAGCGAATTGTTGTAGCAGCACGCTATGGCTCGCCTTCGTTTATTGGAATTATTTAATGCACATTTCCGCGACTTGCCCCTACGACCAAAAAAATCCACAAACACTAGTGTGACCGTTCCGCGACTTGAAGTATTTGAACTTTTGTTTGCGCCGCAAGGATAAGGTATGAGGTGTGACGCATGACGTCACAAAATCCAGAGCTTTCAACGAAAAAAACCCACCTCACCACATAACTCACCGTCTGGGATTTTGTGCTTTCGCGCACCCATGGTACATTTAGTCAGTCGGGGACAGGGTTAGGTTCTTACGAGGCCCTTAAAAAAAGTTCGGCCGCTTTAATACTCGGGCCATACCTTGCCATGACCCAGTCGAAAAAGAGCACTCAAAACGCTTTCCGGACTCATTTCTACGTTTACATTGTGAGCCCAAAAATACACCAGAAATATACCAAAGTATGATAAAGTATACCCGCATGACCCTCAAAAATATACCGAAATATACCTTGTCATAGTAAAAATATACCGTAAATATACTGACGGATGCGTTGATATTCCTTGATTTTGATATTCGGCTTAATATGACTAGCTAGTTAGCCCTTTCAGCCCTAAGCAAATAATTTGATCAAATTCATCAATAAATTTTGTAATAGATTGGCTGGTTTTCGAAATCCTTTTCATTGGATTGTTTCAATAATAAGGTTCAAACAAAACCGGCCAAAGCAAAAAACTTAACTGTGTACCAGAATGTGACTTGATTGTTGCTGGTCATCCGGCTTTAGCTTTGAGTATCAACATTTTTATACCCTATATTTATTAAAGTTATGTTTTCCAAGCTGATATAAAATATTAATAATGATTTTTTCTTAGATTGGCATGTTTTTTAACTTTTCGTGCATGTGATTTGTGTTTTGTATATACATTTATCCCGATACCTATTATTGGTACTTATAAGCTGCAGAATTTTTTTAATATCTTGGAAACAGAGACAATGTTGTTTTTGCACTGCACCACCCTGAGATTACAAACATTGCCTCAATTCTATAATATCTATTTTCCCCAGGTGTGCAGACTGTTATTTATGTTATCGGTCTGCAAAATAAATGTTATTTAACATCAACATGGAAAGTTGTTGAAAGTGTTTTTCGGTATTTTTTTTGTGCGCTAAGTGGAGTTTGGCGGTCATTTTGAACCATACTAACCGCTGGCACTAAAAATACAGTATAGTATACCATAGTTAGTGTATTGATGAATCAAATTTCTACTAGATTGGTTACTTTTCAGAGCTCCCACTCATTCAGATATACCCGCAACTTTTGATTTCGAGAATAGTAAACATACAAATTGATGCTTTTGTGCGATAAGTGCAAGTGGAATGCGGCGGTTACATATCTGTATTTGAATATTACAAGAAATGGCTGTAAAATACCCTAAAAAATACCACAAAATATGGCTGCACAGCCCTCAGCTGTTGCCGCTTACCAACACTGACCCGTTCTCAATGGGCGTAAAATATTTCATTCAGAAAAACCTCTAAATAGTTATCAATAATAGCAACTAGCAATAATAACGTCACGTAGCGGAGGGTGCAGCATGTCCGAGTTGAAGGCGCCGTCACTGCAGTCGCTGCTGGAGTCGGATCGGGGCTCCACTGACAGCTTGCTGGCCGAATCATTGCAACTCGACTTTGAGGATGTGAGTGTTTTTCCATTCCATTGAAAAGAGCAGAGAGGAATCGTAATTCATTAATGACACCCAACAGCTGGATGACGCAGAGTTTGCCATTCCGCCCACCGATGTCCTGCCCACCCTGGAGGCGGTGCTCAGCGAATTTGAGGCCGATTCGGACGTGGCCTCAGAGCTGGGTATGCCGGTGCCCCATGCCACTCCCACCCCCTCGATAGGGGAGGATAGCGCTCTCCGTGGCGACGGTCGCAGCGGCGGTGGCTCCATCATGCGATACACCCTGCTGCATGGCATATCCGCACAGCTGTCATCCGCGGGGGAGCGGGTGAACTCTGGGGCGGCCAGCGCCTGTGCTGTGGCCGCCTACATCGCTGTGGGCACCTCCCATGGCCACATCCTGAACTTTGATGTGACCCAGACGCTGCGCTGGGCCCACCAGGACAAGCACGGCCACGGAGCCGTCTCCAGCCTCGCATTCAATGCGGATTCCACGAGGCTGCTGGCAGGATATGCCCGCGGATTGGTTGCCATGCTGGACACGCAGACAGGTGATGTTCTGCGAGAGCTTTTCGATGCGATTACCCCAAACACTGGAGTGCTGCACGTAAAGTGGACATCGCGCTCGTCCCTGGCGCTCTGTGCGGATGCGGGAGGATCTGTGTGGTCGCTGAGTTTCACCCGAAAGCTTGGCATCCGTGGCTGCAGCTCCCGGTGTCTGTTTTCGGGCGCAAGGGGCGAGGTCTGTGCCGTGGAGCCGCTCATCATGGACTCCCAGGGGCGGCACGAACTCGATCAGTATTGCATTGTGGCGCTGGCCACGCTCTCGAAGTACTTCATCGTCACTGTCCGCCCGCGCCTTCGTGTGATCAAATATCATGTTCTGCAGGGTCCACCCGACTGCCTGCCACTCCTTGCCTGGCACCTGGTGCTCATCCAAGCGGCGGACACCTCCCGTTCGGTGGATCCCGTCATCGTTGTGGGCCGCGGCAATCAGCTCTTCTTCCACCAGCTGTTCGTGTCGAATGGAAGGATCACGCTGCTCTACCTGCGGCACGTGCAGCTGCATGGCAGCCTCCTCTCTGCCCATTGGCTCGGACCCAAGTGCGTGGCATCGCTGGACACCTCGGAGATACTGCACCTGGTGGATGTGCGCTCCAGCAAGGAGCTCGAGTGCATGGATATGGCCAATGCGGGGCTCGTCTACGGTTCTGCACAGTTCAAGGGACTGGCGACGGGAGGGAATGTCTCTCCCGCGTTCGCTCTGGCTGGTAGCAATGCCTGCTACAACTCGGTGGTGTCGCGTGGCACGCAGTTGTATGTGCTGGGCGCCCGTTCCCTGCACATCATTGGCGTGCGGACGTGGTCGGAGAGGATTAGCTACTTGGTGAAGCATCATCGGTGGCAGGAGGCATGCCAATTGGCACTCGATGGCTACATTGCCTCCGTGGATCGTCCGCGAAAGCGTGCCCAGGCGAAGGAGCGCATCATTATGCTGTTCAGGGAATACATTGCCAACTCAGCGCGTGCCCCCGACTACTGCCTGGGCTCCATAGTCAATTGTTTGATCACCATCGGGGAACTGGAGCTGCTGTGGACACAGCTCTGGGAGAAGCTGCAGGGCAACAGCACGGAGCTCTTCCTGCAGCACATCTCGGAGCACATCGACAGGGAGACCATTCACAGCGTCAATCCGGTGATATCCCAGGCCCTGGTCGACTACTGGCTGGAGCGCTCGCCCGCGAAGCTCGAAAAGCTCATCCTAAAGCTGGATTGGATGTGCCTGGACCTCAATCAGGTGCTCAAGGCAGTGAAGCGCCATCGCTTGTACCGCGCACAGATCTACCTCAACACCCAGGCCCTCAATGACTACACAGCAGCGCTGACGGAGCTCCTGCCTCTGGTCACGCCCCAGGAGACGGATTTGGGCAACTGTCTGTTGGTGTACGTTTCCAGCTGCCTCGCTGGCAGGGGCTATCCAACGGGGGACATTCCCGTGGAACAGGTGCATAAGGTGAAGCACGATGTCCTGAGATGTCTTACCTCGCAACATTCCAAAGCGGGCCAGGAGGCAGAGGAGCTGCCGTATCCATATCTGCGGGCACTTTTGAAGTTCGATACGCGGGAGACCCTAAATGTCATTTCGTTGGCCTTTCAGGAGCGAGAATTCAGCAATGAGCTGGGCTTCTCCCATCGCAAGAGGATCATTTATTTGCTGCTGGAGATCATGACGCCCGAAAATGCCACAGTAAGAACTCGCCTAGCCTTCTCCAGAAGTCTTTCTGTAATCCCGCATTTATCTCCTTTTTCTAGTGGGCGGAAATTGGCTGCCTTTTGAACTTCATTGCCCAACAAATCTCCATGCAATGCCTACCGCGGGACAGGCAGCTCTTGCAGCGCGTCCTCAGCCACTTGGCCCAGGAGCACATCGATCATGAGAGCAGTCGCCAGCATTCGGAGCGGGAGAGCGCCTGGCATGAGCTTTTGTCCAGCAATTGCCTGGCGGACATCAGCAGCGATGAGGAGCAGCTGGCTTTGGCCGAGCGTGCCCGATGCTACTATGTGGTGGAGTATCTCCTGGAGAAGCTGCAGCGATATGACAACATCTTGGATTGCTACATCCAGAATGAGTCCAGGCACGAGACGATGTTCGCGTATATGGAACGACATGTGTCTGTTCCCGGCAGATGCATTTATCCGCAGTTGAAGCGACATCTGCGACAGCTGCTGGAGATCAATGCGAAGGAAACAACGCGCCTGCTGGCCCTGCACTATCCGGAGAGGACTATGGAGCTGCTGGAGACCCTCCTGAAGGAGGAACCTCTGCTCTTCTGCTTCTTAAAGTGCTTGAACGAGCGCCAGTGTGAGCTGGAGGCCGAACAGATGGAGCTGCTGCTGGAACTCTTTTGCAAACTGGAATCAGCCGCGGTAGTGGAGGAATTCCTGGCCACCAACTCTGGGTATCGTCTGGAGCAAGCCATTGCCATTGCAGAGCGCCATCGACTCAATCGAGCTGTGATCTACCTCTACGAGAAGCAGGAGAGCTATGCGAACGCCTTTGAACTCTCCATGGATATGCTGAGGGCTGCGGCAGGCGAGGAGGCGGTGGTGGAGGCGCAACAGATCTCCGCTCTGCTCTCCCGATCCGTTGAGACACTTCCCCCGAAGCAGCTGGAGCGCTGCTGGTTCTCCCTGTTGCAATACATTCTGCCCCACCAGGAGCTGCAGGCCATCACCAAGGCCATGCTGCACGAGGCCTCGCAGCACATCGATCTGCACAATCTCGTGCAGCTGATCATGAACACGCCCCACAATGTGAACAGCAGCTTTGGGGACATAAAGGATCTGCTGATGGGCATGCTGGACAGTTCGCGGCATCAAACGGAGGCGCTTCGCACTGCCGCAGATGTTCTGTGCCAGGATTTGCATATGGAATTTGTGAAGCAGCAGCGTGTGGCACGGCGTGGCCTGTGGATAACCAGCACCAACTGCTGCATCTGCCGCCAGCGGCTGTCCAATCACACGCAGATCCTCGTGATGGGCGGCTGTGGTCATGCCTTGCACGAGGACTGCCTGGTGGAGTGCCCGCAGGTGCCAGTGGAGGAGTGTCCGCGTTGCTTTACGCAGATTCCAGTAGGAGATGCTGACAGACAGAAGAGCAGCTGCCTGCGGCTGCCACGAACCAATCGCCGGCTGTTTGCCCAGTCTTCTGCCATGGAGATGGGTGCACTGCAGCTGAAGGCACCGCCCAGACGTTTCTGTTAGCACGGCAACTCCTTTCGTGTGTGTGTGTGTGTATATTCAATGTCCATGTCCGCTATGTATTTATTGTTTTTCAATATCCTATATTTCGATGTGTAAGTAAATAAATTTGCATGATAAATTGAGTCTTTTGCGGGACTCCCGCTAATGCAGAATCATTTAAGATTGATCTAAACTAGTAGAACAATGGGAAAACCTTGCGGGGAAAGAACAACAATTATTACGGAATCTGGTATGGTACTGTAATTGATTTAAAAAATATAAATAAATATTGAAATATGTAAATTTGATCGATGTTTAGCTACAATAGCTACGATAGGTCGATATAGGACTCAATCGATGTATGCAAGAGCTGCCAACTTCACTTTGCAGCGAGGGACAAGACAGCGTGCTAAATAAAAGAAAACGAAGTAGGTTCAAACACACATAAATAATATAAGTATAGACATTCTCCATTCCATACACAGAAAGCCAGAAAATGAGCACCCAGGAAAACAATAGCGACGAGATTCGCGGCATCGCATCGGACATTAACCGTCTCTGCATGAATGAGCTCTACTTGGACGTGGAGGTGGAGGATCAGCGGCTGCCGGGTCACCGCTACATTCTGGCGGCGCGCAGTGAGTATTTCCGCGCATTGCTCTACGGGGACATGGCTGAGTCGAAGGAACGAGAAATTCGGCTGGAGGTGCCGGTGGAGGCATTCAGAGTTATCCTCGAGTACATTTACTCAGACAAGTTACCTCTTTCCACACTGGCTGTGGATAAGATAATCGATGTGCTCGTTTTGGCGCATCTTTACGGATTGAAGGACGTTGAGACGGCTATATCCAAATATCTCCAGCAAAATCTTGCCGTCAGCAATGTGATCGTGATCCTAAATGCAGCGCGACTATACGATTTGGACCAGCTGACCGCAGGTTGCCTCATGTTTATGGACAACAATATGGTCGATCTACTAAAACACGACTCCATCCAAATGCTGTCCAAGGAGTCATTTGAAGAAGTCTTGGGAAGAGAGAGCTTCTCGGCCCCCGAAGTTGAAATCTTTCGGACTTTATGCAAGTGGAGGGAGAACAATCCGAACGAGGACAACCAGACGTTGTTCTCCCTCGTACGTCTTCCGCTCATGACTATCGATGATCTGCTGCATGTGGTGCGTCCTTCTGGCATATTCAAATCGGATATAATATTCGACGCCATTGATCAAGTGAACATCGGAAAGAACCTGCCGCACCGAGTTGTCACGCTGCCGGGAGAGAATTTGACATCCGCAAAGCCTCTTGCGCAACCTTTTGTGCTAGTCGTCAAGCTGCGTAAATCTTTCAGAATCAACTATATTCAGCTATGGCTTCCATATCAATCAGAATCACAAGTGGTAGTCTCAGTCTCAGTCTCCTGCGACCAGACCCACTGGGATTCTGTGGGAAATGTCATAGTACCTTATAGAACTATATCACCAGTCTTGATTACGCCGCGTACCGTTCGCTACATTCGGATAACAAGTATTTCATGTGGGATTGAAAATTGTGATTTGAAGGCCATGTACAAAGAGTAGCGCTGTGACTTTGTAGCAGCAGAGACCCCTGGAAATGGTCTGTTCACTGAGCTGTGAATTCTCGTAAAATATAATTTCTAATGATTAATTTGAAATTCCCGTAGGCTTGAGTAATCTTTGCTTACCACACAACAACAATTTTTGTACCCGTGAATACCTCTGTATGTATGCACATACGAATTAAATCCACTGAATTAACGACTTTTCTTACTTAACCGTTTCTTTAATTTTGTATTTAAATAAATTTTAATCTTACTGAAATTGGCATTTGGATTCTTTTATTAGATTGCACTTCGGCATGGTCAATGCATAACGTGGACCGATCCTTAATATAAGGAATGGAATGGAACGCAAAAAGGTCGCTACCGAACACCAAGGACCCTTTGGCAAGGGAGAACGAAACAGAGAGTAGCCTAGCTTCGAAATTCTTAATACTTTGAAAAGTTTCATCCCGATGGCTTTAAGACTAAAACAAAGAGACCAAGAAAATAAATATATCTTAGCAAGGGTATAAAAAAAGGGGACATATCTAAGTATTACGTTGATCATTGTGGAAAAACATAAAGGGGAATCCCCAAAAAATCACAAACACATGATACAGAAAAACTGCTACCAATTCGATAACAAATCGACTCTCGCACCTCGCGCTCTCCTCTCTCTTTATCAATGTGCCTTGACAAAAATGTTGCCACAAAAGCCGATGCACAGTTTCGGCTTCAATTTTGCCAAGATTAGCTGGGAAAAATACCCTTAAGGAAGTATATTTATAGACTATATATATATGCATATAATACAATATCAAATTATATTCCAAATTGAACTCGGATTGTGGAAAATATTGAGGAATTTTGTCCATATTTCTCGTTTAGTTCCTCAACTTATTTGAGGTCTCATGGAGTTATCCGTAGGAAAAGTGCCATTATAATGCTGTATAAACTCCGTGCACTGTTCCGCTGATCATTGAGAAAATATATTGAATGATGGATCTAGAAATTGGCACATAGTTTCCTGCACTTACCTTTGGGAAAAGCCAGAGTCTCGTATAATTTCAAATTTCTCATCTGAAAAAACCGGAAAACACTGTGGAATATCAAATCATCTTTAGTTTTATGGGCAGCCTCCAGGAACTTGCGAGCAGGGACTTTATCAAGGCCCAAGGAGTTCTTGGCCAAACGCAAGGCATCAATCACTTTGCCCTGCCCCAACATCACCTCAATGCTGATCTGAAAAGAAGAACACACTTTACAGAACCCAGAGAATAACAAGGAGGATAGGTCGCTTACCTCATGTGCCTGAATCTTCCCCAGCATATCGATGGCCACCTGTGATATGGCCGTATCCACATCCGAATGTGAGAGCAGAAAGCAAGCCACCGCCTTGGATTCTAGCAGCATGGAGTAGCTAACCAGACGACGCAGTGTATCGAAGCTACGATTGTGTATCAGTTCGCTGATAATCATCTTGGAGAGCTCCTCCTGGGCAGCAATGTTGAATTTATTCAGCGATTGGAGGTACAGCATCAAAATGGTTTCGGTGTAGGGCCTCTTGGCTATCCTCTGGAATATCTGCACCATATCCAACTGCTCGATGAGAACAATGGGTGGTGAGGTATGCTTCACCGTAGATGTCTTTACATTCGAGGGCTGTGCCGTTTGATTCTGCAGCTCCAGTTGCACCCAGGAGCTAAAGAGTGCCACAAGGGTTAGAGAGTTTCTCAAAAATAGAGAGAGAGCTTTAACATACGCATAAATCTTGTTAATTCTGCTGAAAATTGTCTCCAGGACGGGCAGCAGCGTGCCCTTGTATTGATCATCCACCAGCTGTCCCAGGACCTTCAGCAGAACCTGCTTGCCACTGCTTCGCTGCAGCAGGAACTCTGTGAGACGTATGCGATCCGAGATCAGATTACACAGCGGATCAATGCACAGATTCAGGTACCACATGCATCCCAGCTTTGCGTCGATCACAATGTTTGGCTGGAACAGCACCCAATGGGTGGAGTCTGTGGGGAATTTATGGCATCAGATAACAGATAAAATGGCCTTCGAATCTACCTACACAGCTCGCATTGGAGGATTTGTCCGTCGGGCGATAGCGAGGGCAGCTTCAGGCCAAAGGGTTTAATGGAACGACCCGTTGTAATGGGAGCATGATACGTGATATCCTGAATGACCTCTCCGGTAAGTGATATATCGAAGAGCAGCGATGTCCCAGTGGCCTGATGATGCACCACAATCAGATTATCCACAGTATTGATGGCAAAGCGTCCCACGAGGCTAAGGCGCAACACATGGCACTTTCGTGGAGCCAGCCCTGGACCGTTTAACAGATGCACCTCCACTTCCATCATGCCCGTGCTGCTGTTCGACTGGAGTATGAGCACCGCCAGGACGCCATAAACTTGTCCCAGGGTCACTTTGCTTTCCTGAACCTCGCGACTGGGACTGCCTACTGATAGAAATGGCATTAAGGAAGACTTAAAAGCAGAACAAAGTCAAGGATCACTCACAGTCCACCTTTGGCAGCTTGGTGATGACCTTCTGCTTGACCAGAACGGGCACTAGGCTGTTGCCCTCGGTGGTACAGAGCAGGGCCACATTGGCATCGCAACACCAGGCGAACCACTTGATGCTGATGCTCAGGGACTTGACAGAGCGCACCTGACGCTTCTCCGGCAACACGGTGTATACCTCCACGCCTGTGTTGGATATCAGGGCCACCTCCCGGTTGTGGATCCACACGAAGCCATGGATCATCGTCTTCACCTGATGCGTGATGATGTCCTGCAGCAGGGGCTGCTCCCCCTGGAAGCAGATGAACTCCACTGCATTCTCTTTTCGCTGCACAGCCAATATTTGATTATCCGGCGAGAATTTAATCGAACGAATCGCTCCACCACGATCGTTCATGCAAAAGGATATAACCGTATCCTCGTTGGGCACAGGGCCCTTGACCACAACACCTGTGGCACCACCAGATCGTACAGCAAAGATCTGCAAAGAAAAGAGATTAGACTTAGAAAGTGTTTTCAGCAGCTTAAAAACACTCTTGCCTGCTTGTTCGAGTCATCGAAGAAGACATTCGTTAGCTGACTGACGGCATCGAAGCGTATGGGATTCCGCGACAGCTCAATATAATGGATTCCATTCGAATTTTCCATCGTTTTTGCAAGAAAAAAACAAAACAAAACAGAAACCTTGTTTTCATCCGCCCTCCATTAGTGATGACATTTAGTGGCTGTTAGTTATAATCACGTTACTGAAGATCACCTCATTTGTATCCACATGCATGTGTAATATTTGCATAGCTACATATAAACATTTTCCCGTTTCCTTTAATTTAAGATAACTCTGATATTAAATTAAAGCATCAATTAAAATTTTTAAATAATAAATATAAATACTTTATAGTCACAGTGACTACAAGTATGCTCATCTCTATCCACTCTACCTATCGATTATCAGCTGTTCGCACCATCTGACTGCAGTGTTGTAAAACATCAAACATATACAATCCAAAGTAAAACTAAGAAAAATTATTGAGTGCAGCGTTTTTTGATGTTTACAAAGAAAATCCCTTAAAATGGATGGCCTGGACAAATGCCGCGTCTGTTGCTGCACCATTGAGTGCAAGGAGAAGGCCTGCAACTTGCTGCAGCTGCCCGAAGTGGCCGCAATGTTCACCGACTGCACGGATTTGTTGGTGGATCCGCGGGAGGATCTGCCCAGTGCCCTCTGCTGTGGCTGCTACGAGGAGCTAAAAAAGTTCCATTCGTTCCGTAAACTCTGCCTTGAGGCGGACACCAAATGGCGCTTGCAGAAGAGGGACACACCTATGGAATTGAAGTATACAAATACGGAATCTGAGGACGGCTTCGAGGATGTGGACGACATGCCGCTTTGCGCATTGGAAACGAAAAGCCCGGGCCCCCCCATTGAAGCCACCGAGGTGGTGCTGGTCGATGGCGAATTCCATGAGAAAAAACCATGCCAAAGATTAAAGAAAGAAAATAGGGAAAAAGTAAAGAAAAATACAGGGAGACGGATGAAGGTAAATGCAAAAGAGGTGGGTGAGAATACATAGATCAATCACTGATTTATATGCATAAATTCCCTGATCGTTTAGGTGCCCCCAACAGAAGAGCAGGGTGCGAGCTGCAAGTGCGAGATCTGCTCGAAAGAGTTTGTCGATGAGTATCGCCTGCAGGCGCACATGCGAGAGCACGATGGTCACCTGCTCTTTCCCTGCACAGAGCCTGGCTGTGACAAGACCTTCAGTCGACTGCAGGATCTTAATGTGCACCTGCGGGAGCACAATGGCACGGGCACGTGGTATACCTGCGGCCAGGAGGGCTGCAGCAAGAGCTACCGTCACAAGGGCACCCTGGTGATGCACAAACGCCAGAGCCATGGAATAGGACCGAAACTCAAGTTGCACGTGTGTGAATTCTGCGGCAGGGTCTTGAACAGTCTGGCGGCCCTCAACCACCATCGGTTCACGCACAAGGACAAGCTGGTCAAGCCGTATGCCTGCGAGGAGCCGGGCTGCTCGGTACGCTTTCTCAGCGAGGAGAAGCTCAAGGTGCACATGATGCGGCATAGGGGCATCAAGAACTTCACGTGTCCCCATTGCGGCGCCAAGAAGACAACAAAGAATGAGCTGAAGCTGCACATCAACTACCACACGCTGGAGCGCACCTGGCCCTGTCCGCACTGTCCCAAGGTGTGTAACAGCTCCACCAGCCGGAAGATGCACATACGCACGAATCACGAGAAGACCAAGAGCTATGCCTGCAGCATCTGTGACAAGAGATTCACCAAGCCGGACACGCGCAAGTATCACGAGTTGACGCACACGGGCGAGCGGAATTACGGGTGCGCAGTGTGTGGCAAGCGTTTCGTCCAGCCTGCGGCCCTGCGCACCCATCGAAAGATCCATGAGCGTGATCAGGCGAAGGCTCCTGTTGTTAAAGATGTGGAATTCTGATGGGATTGGCTGATATGCCTGGAGCTATAGTATTTGAATTCTTTCATGCCATAAGTTCGATTATTGACAATATTTTTTTTATTTATATTTCTAATTTGTTTAAGCCACGTTAAATATGATGTGGATAAAAGCCGTTATTTGATTTGAAAAAGTCGCCAAATAAATCACTGCAGCCACGTTTTGCAACACTACAGGAGTGGTAGTGCAAAACGGCAAACATAAACAAAAGCAAGGCAAAGAAGCAGCAGGATATTCAATGAAACTGCGTCTCGGGAAAACGGATCCTTGGAAATGGACAAATTGGACAAGTGTCGCGTCTGCTGCTGCAGAGTCAAATGGGAGGACGAGGCATACAACTTGTTGCAAGTCCCCAAAGTGGCAGCAATGTTCACCGCCTGCACAAATTTGTGTGTGGATCCGCGGGAGGAGTATCTGCTGCCCAGTGTCCTGTGCTGTGGCTGCTACGAGGAGCTGGAAAAGTTCAACGCATTCCGTACCCTCTGCATAGAAGCGGACACCAAATGGCGCGAAAATAAAGTAGAAGTGTATGTGGGCGTGGGTGTGGATATGCATGATGTGTACAACGAGGATAAGGCTATCCGCGAATTGGAGTTAATGTTGGCAAGGAAAAGTCCTGTTCCACCCATTGAAGCCATACAGCTAAGGCCTGATCCACCCATTGAACTCATACAGCTATGTCCTCTTCCACAGATGGAATCCATACAGCTAAGGTCTGATCGACACATTGAATTTATACAGCTAGGTCCTATTCCTCCTCTACGTCCTGTCCCACCCCTTGCATTAATATATCCGAGTCCTGTCCAACCCCTTGCAACCAAACATCAGAGTTCTGTCCTCATTGAATCCACACAGATAATTCCTGCTCCACCCACTGAATCCACACCAAGGAAAAGTCCAATCCCAGCCGAAGAGTCCACACAGCTGAAGCCGTTGAAGCGCACAGATGCCAAAAAAAGTCATCAAAGTGCATGGCAGAACAAGGAAGAAAATGCAAAGAATTTAAATCCTCCAAAGGTGAGCGGAAAAGCACAAGCTTTCAACAATTTATGGATAGTTTATGATATTCAAGGTTCCTACGAAGCTCCCAGAGTTCCTCAATCGTGCCACAGGTGCAAAACGATCTCAAAGTACAAAGAAGAAAACTGTCGAAGAAAACAAGGAACCTTCTGCAAATTCTAGTCCAAAAGATCCCGAAAAGGTGAGTGGGAAATCCATAAACGATCATCGATTTATTCAAATTTCTCTCTTATTTAGGCTCCTTCAGAACAGAATAAAAAGAATTCACATGCAGCAGAACTGATTGAAGAATCCTCCAATCAGGATTTCCTCAGTCGTTTCACGTGCAACATCTGCTCCAAGAACTTTGCCTCCAAGAGACGCTGCCAGATCCACAAGCAGCAGCATGGTGGCCATCTGCAACTCACGGAGCACATGAAGACACACACGGTAAATTGTTTCCCCTGCGAGCAGGAGGGATGCAAGAAGAAATACCGCCACAAGGGAACGTTGGTGGCGCACCAGAAAAAAGCCCATATGGGTTCCATCTCCAAGTCGCACGTTTGCGAGGTTTGCGGCAAGGCTTTTGACAATCTGGCCAAGCTCAGATACCATCAAGAGAAGCACAAGGGCAGGACACAATTGCCCTTCGCCTGCGAGAAACCGGGCTGCTCCTTGCGCTTCCGGAAACGGAACAGCCTCCTGAACCACACGATGCAGCACAAGGGCATCAAGAAAGTCCAAATCAATCAACACACCCTTGAGCGCACTTGGAACTGTCCGCTCTGCTCGAAGGTGTGCAAGAGTTCGACCAGTCTGGAAGCGCACAATCGTCAGATCCATGAGGCTATTAGGAAATATTCCTGCGGCGTTTGCAACATGACTTTCGTGAGGTTCCACTCGAGGCAAGTTCACGAAATGATTCACACGGGCGAGAGCGTTCAGCCCCCCAAACTACGCTGCCATCGACAGATCCACAAAAGATCCAAGCCGAGAGAATCGCTTCAAAATTAACCTGTTCTATCTACAATTTAGAATATAGTGATTTTTTTGTCTATTGATAGGATTCGAATAAGTAAGAGCCACTAGTCATCCATTCAATGTACAAAAAATACTGATACGAATTTAATATATGAAGTTGTACTCCATATATGCGTTCTGAAAAGAGGTACATCAATATTCACTTGATCTTTTTTCAGAATATCCTTTACGGGAGAGAAAGCTCTTACTCCTTCTGATAGCCGTCAAACCTATCGTATTTTTAAGTTTCGAGCTAAGATTTTTGTGAATAGTTTTTAATATATATATTTAATCTATTGCTAAGATTGAATGGTTCAAATGTAAAGAAAATACCAACATTACGAATTTAAATTATGGTTGTAAATGTCTACTAAATCCCAAAACTCTTCTATCTTCTGCCTCTTGCACACATTTACCCTTAGACTCCATGAGTAAGTACCATACAAAAAATTCCTTTGTTTCTGGATTCAGAATGTAAATAGCTTTAAATTTTTAAATTATATTTTCAACTAAAACAAAAAAATGTACAGGAAATGCGCGTGTTTTATTTATTTTATTTTTTTTTTTAATTCGAGGAGAGCCTATCCGTAAAAACTAAAATACAATACGTCGCGACGTCTGCTAAAGGTGAGTCTGTGATTCGTGATTCGAGTGTGTCGTCTGTGTGTATGTTTGCATATCGGTATATAGATAGCTATATAGTATATTGAATATTGTGGTAAATGATATGATGTGTGTGCCACTGTGCTGCTGCCACATTTCCCCCTCGATTGCGTAAATATTGTGAAATCTTTTGCATTAAAATCGTTGTAAATATGTTTCTTTATAGATAGATAGATAGATATATCTGTATCTGTTTCTTCTGTGAGCTAAATGGTTGTATTTCTTGCTGTAAATATGTTGAGTGTATTGTATAAATATTGTTGTATTCGTATTCGTATATTGTAGATATCGTTTCCTATATATTTTTTGTGGGAGGGGGGGCAATACGGTTTGCGGATTTCTGTCTTCTATTATCGCTTCATTTGTTGTCCTTAAGGCTATTGAAAAATGTTGGCATTTTTAGAAAATGCTTTAAAGTACATATAGAACATAAGAATATAGCATATTATAGGCTAAATATCACCCACGATTAAATCGTTGCTTAGATACTATATAAACACTAAATATATATAATACATTCTTGCCTTGTATATTCCATATAAATATTATCCCCTATTCAATATCATATCATATTATATCATATATAGATTACAATTCAGACATAAAACGAAAGACACAAGTCGTTGTCTCCTATGCACTAAGTGGTACATAGATGGTAAATGGTAGATGGTAAATGGTATCGTATCCATAGATAAATCCTATTTAAATCGAATATACTCCTACGATCTATGGGGTGTATATAACGGTATTCCTATATCCTATTAACATTTTTAAGCTCGCTGAACAACTTCACATTCACTTCCAGTCCTCCAGATCCACATCCTTTACTCTACTCTCTCTTTCTTCTCTTAGACATAATCCGAGGGCACTGTGCTGGTGCTCGTCTCGTTGATGGCCGCCAATCGTGGCGCTCGTCGCTGTGTCATGGATGCTGCCACCGCCGCCGCCGCTACTGCGTCTCCTGGCATCAGTCCAGTGGTGGCAATGCCTCCTCCTCCGCCTGCATTCGCCCCACCGCCATGGTGATCCCAATTTGGCAACGGCTGTGACATCACGTTCAGTCCAACGATTTCGTAGGCCCCCTGATTGCTGCCACTTGGCCCGCCACCGCCGGGCATGGCCGTCACGGATAGATCCGAGTAGTAGGCACTGCTCGGTGCCGACGATACGACCATGGGAATGTCCTGTTCGTGGCCCTGGAAATTGTATTTCTTTGTGCGAGAGAGAGAGAGAGGTATTTCGGTATTAGTTTTGGAGGGTTATTGTTCAGTGGGTAAATGAGAAAATGATGAAACAGTCGTACGGGGTGAGATGAATATATCGATTATTTAATTGATTCTGTTCCATCACTTAACTTATTCATAACTGCTATGCAATATCCATTCTTTATAACAATCCCACTTAACCGTTTCAATTAAGTTATAGTTCCCATTATATTTATTCCAAAATTCTTCCATCTTGTGACTGCCTGTTTCAGCGTACACCGTGTCGAATAAAACTTTGAGTAGCTTCGTTTTTAGTCTTAATTTCAATTATTTTGCACTTGTCCCCAACGTCTCGAATTATCTTCTGAAACTGATAGTTCATCTCAGTTCTCAACACTCACCTCACCACACTGACTGTAGGCGGTATTCTGATACGAGGGATTGGCGGAACGCACCGACTCCCGATCGAGTTCCGCATAGAGGGCCTCGCTGACGCCCACCGGACTGTAGGCGTCGTCCATATGGGTATAGTGATTCTCCGCTGGGGATGTGGATGGCGGTCCGATCTGGTCGGGCCCGGCGGAGGATCGTCGACTACCGCCAAGCCATGTCCAAACACCAGAGTTGCTTGTGGGCCGCCGGATGCTGTCCGCCGAATGCTTGATGGAGATGGGCGATCGATTCTGGCCGGCATTGCGATTGTTGCGACACCACCAGGGCTGCGGACGACCACCTGTGGAATGGATGGAGGGATGGAGTGCAATGAGTCGATACTTTGGAATCCAAAACGCAGCCGCAGCAGAAAAATCTATGACATTTTGGGTTTATAATCGGGCGATAAATCAAACATTCACCACACACTGCAGTGGAGGAAAAAAAAAACGCAAACAAAAGACAGCAAACAAACAGATAGACAAACAAACAAAGCGTAAATTAAATGCCTGTCAACTGGCATTGGGAATCGGCATCGCCATCGGAATCGGAATCGAGGTGGCAAAATGTTGCAGTTGCTGTTGCAGTTGCACCACCAGTTGGCCGAAAATGCCAAATGTTTCTCCTTTCCTGCTGCTGTTGCTGTTTGCTGCTGCTGGTGCTGCTATCAACACATGTGATCTTAAGGCCTGGGAGTTTAATGGAGCTTCTGGTACTGTTGTCCCTCCCCCTCCTAATGGATGTGACTCAGAGGATAACCATAGAAAAGCACTCAAAATATATAGTTTGCTACTCATTAAACTCATAATTTATAGACATTTCTCGCATAATTGGTAGCCATAAAACGCTCTCTCTCTCTCTCTCAGAGTAAGAGCTGTTCTCAACATCCGCTATGGGGTTCGGGTTTCCTCATTTGCTTAGCAGTTTGCACAAAATCTATATATAAATATTTTATATATTTCTATATTTTTAAGTCGCCTTTCACTCTCATTAACTCTGAGGAAAAAGATGGAGCCACTCAAAAGAGCCACTTGGGGCGATTCAACTAATTAGCCTGGTGCATACGCAACACAGCAACAGCAGCGACAGAATGGCCGGACGGAGAGACAGACTCAGTTTCCCAAGTTATGTACATGCATAATGCAGGCAGAGAGGCCCCAGTACCGTCCCAGTCCCAGTCGCAACTCCAAGTCGAAGTCGAAGTCCGTTTTATGCTTATGATTTACGTACTCCGCTAAGCGAATGTCCAGCTCTCGCTGTGGCTGTGGCTCTGGCTCTGTGGCTTTAGCTGTGGCGATTATTACCCCCAAACCGCAAAAGTTATCGTATGTAGGTGCTCATATACATGCATTTTGTGCATGTCACCAATGCCACAAAACAGCACACACACGGTACCCTGTTACCCTCTCCCTCACCACGCTGCTTCGATCACCCGATCCCTGAGACTCCCAACTCCAAGTGGAACTCCGATTTAATGGCTGTTTTTGCGCTGTGTTAACGATGTTGCCGCAGCTACTGACTGCATGGCTATTTGAGTTGAGTCGAGAGCTGTGCTTTAGAGGTAACTGCATTGCACTTATGGTTTTTCCTTTTTTTTTTTACTTTCGGGTTTCCCAATGCTGTGGCACAGTGGTAGAAAAATTATAGAAGAACAAAAGGTATTTATGGAAATAATTTTGGGATAATTTTGGGGAAAAAGGAAGAGAAATGTACAGGATTTTAAACGGAATTACATTATCCCATTCCACTATAAAAAAAGGCTTGTAGTAAAAAAACATTTGGCCCGCTTCATGCAGCAGCAGCACTCGGTTTCTTCACTATTTTTCCCTATAATCCGCTTTAAAGAAAGCTTTAAAGAAAGATTTTTCTTAGCCCTTACACAAGGAATCAAACCCCTTAAAAGATAGCATAAGAACCTACTGAATATCTTAGAAATCGCTACTTTGGTACCACTGTGCCACCCGGCTGCTGCTGTTCTGTGGCACAGCTACCGCTTGTGTCTTATCTGTGGCTGCTTATCGCGGGGCAACGGCAGCAGCGGCAGCAGCGGCAGCAGCCGCCAAAAACCAGCAAACGGCAAATTGTTGTTAACAAAATATTTCACAGTCAACGGAAAAAATAGCAGAAAAAACAAAGAGAATTTCAAAATAAAAAGAAAAATATTAACGAGCATTTTTGTGATTTGGAATTTAATTTGTGTTTTTTGGGGTTTCCTTTGGAGTTTCGTTTGGGGTTTGCAAATGGCAAATATGACATGTGTAATGAAGTCTTAATAGTTGGATATTTTGGGCTGAGATAATGACAATCGCTGTACACCAGCCGGTGTCATGCCCGTTTAATGGCCACCAAATGTCACATGACATTCGGTTTTTTTTTTCCGATTATCGTGAATACTTTTTTGAATGCATAATTAAAATCAATGTTACGCATACGACACCGACACCACATTGGCTGCTGTTCAAAAGATAATTGCAATTACAAGGAATTTCGAATGGGGAAACACAGACAGCAGAATGTTGTGTCGATTGTCTGAGAGAAGATTGCTGTTCAAATATGGTAATTAGTTGGAGGGTTTTTATAGGTTTTCCAACATGTTTTTCTCTGGTAAAAAGTGTGCCACAGTTGAATAAACAGTTTAAATAGTTTTCTCCACAAAAAAAAGAGAAAAAAAACAGCAACAGAGATCTGTGGCAACTGTGGCAACGGTTGTGGCGCTTGTCTCTCAACTTCGCCGACATTCAACTTCGGGGACATAATCACGCGCTTTAAAAGCCTGCTGACAGTTTAACGATTTGTGGCGATTGTTTGTTGTCTCTCTGGCTTTTGTTTTCAGTTGTTTGTCTGCCACATGCAACCCGTGCGTACCACCGAAAACGAAATGCCACTTTTGCCAAAATAAAATAAAAAAAAAAAAACAAAAAACAAACAACGAAACGAGCATTTTCAATCGAGGGGGGACAACTAATTGGCTGCTGTGACATTAAATGCCGTCAACAATTTGTCCTGCATGTCGATTGTCAGTCCTCCCAAAACAAAAAAGAAACAAAACAAAACAGAGAGACGAATGCGACAGTGAAATTGGCGCCAAAAGCCTCCACAGAGAATTGCAGAAAAGAGAGAGTCAGAGAGGTGGAACGGGAGAAAGAGAGGTCTCTTGTGGCCTTTGGGGTTGGGTCCAGGAATCGTTTGTCAATAATTCGACTACTGCTGAAAGCCACAGCCACCACAACAGAATCCAGCGACTCTGCAACTCGCGATTCGAGCAACTAAATCAAAAAAGAAAAACAAAAAAAAAAGAGTTTTTCCTGCACGATTTTCAAACGTGTTTGACGACCATGACAATTGTTTTGGGTTTTGCCTTAATTTGTCTACAAATTTTCTTTTCTTTTTCTTGGTTTCAATTTCAGCAGCCGCAGGAGGAGACAGCTGTAGCAGCAGCAGCCGCATCATCATCTTAGATTTGTGGCACGAACGTGAAGTTCATGCATTGTCGTCAAAAATTTGTCTTCATTTCCTTCAACAAATTAAAATGTTTTTGCCACTTGTCTGAGGGAACAGAATGAGAGATTTCCTTGAATTGCATGCAACGGCAGAATTATGCAATTAAAAATGGAAATGAAAAGGCAGAAAAAAAGTCAGGAAAAAAGGCAGAGAAATAAAAACCCTTCCCTTGATGCATGGCTGCTAATTAATCAGGCATGGCAAAAAGGCCAAGAGAGTGATGATCATCAGGGAAGTCACGAAAGGGCAGCCAGCAGCACCAGCAGCAGCAAAAAAAAGATATATAATGAAAGGGCAATAAGTTCGATGACAGCGGAAATCATTCACTAAAGAAAGAGATGGGGAGTTTTGGTGCTTAAAGAAAAAAAAACATTAATTGGTGGAAGAAACTGCGTAGGAAATAATTCATACGAATTAATTTTCTAATTCCCTCACTGAAGTCTCCCTTTGGCAAGCATTCATTCCATTCTACAAATCTGAAGTCTCTGCAATTCAATTATCATTTAAAATTTATAATATTTCATTCACTTACCATTGGCATTCGCTGATTTCATTCTGCAAAAAGATAAGAATGGAAAAAAATGTGTAAAAATGTTGTAACAATTAATAAAAACATAAAATATTTAATAGAGTGTCAGTTGCAGTTGCAGTGGCAGTGGTGCATAAATTAGTTCTTTAATAAACTTAAATGTCAAATTTGTTGCACCACAAAACGAATGACTTAAGACACAAACTTGAGGCACGCTCAAGTTGCGTGTGTGACAGGCAGCAGCAAATACAAACTATCTGAGTATCTGAGTATCTTCGGATCTTTGAACAACACAAATGCATTAGCATTCGTTTGGGCTACAATGCGATGCGTTTTAAGCCAAACAAAATCATGGCCAAGTGGAAGATGTTTTGGCATTTGAAAGTCCAAGCCCACTCCTGAGTGATTTGTGGCAGGTGTGAGTGTGGCAACTCTTTCTATGGCAAGCACACACAACACAGAGTTTTCTGGAACAGTTTTTGCTTGAATCAAGTGTTTGCACTCTGGTTTTCTGGGTCAACGCGCGAACCTGATACCTCCAATGCCCATACACGTACATATACATTCATACATACATAAGATTGCTAGTACCTCTCTCTACACCGATCTGTGCGTATCAATTAACCGACTGTCCGTCTGTCTGTCTGTCCAATCGGTCCAATTTGATTGAGTGCAGTGCGGCATGCCTCATGCGGCTGTGTCGATCCACAATTTTCCCCTCGCTTTGCCTTGATCGATTATAATGTTAAACCGCAACGCGAGTCGCGACTTGCAATTCGATTTTTCCGTTTTCTTTTTAGCCTTTTTGTTCTCCTCAATTCAATTAAATTGAACAAGCGGCAAGACTCCACTTCGACCGTTTCGTTCGGGGGGGCCTTGGCTCTGCGCTAATTTTCCCCCAACTGTGCTTTTTTTTTTCTCTACCCCCTGTTTTCCACTGATTTTCCTTTGCCTTTTGCCTTGCGTTATGTTCAATTTTCTGTGCTTGTTTTTTCGCTTGTAGTTTGCATTTTTCCTCTTTTTTCCAAGAGTTTTGATCGGGTTTCTGTTTTTTTTTTCGTTTTTTGGTTGCATGCTAATTGAACACGCCTTTTTGTGTCTTAAATGCATTAAGCGGTCTCTAAACTTGACTTTTGGGTTTAGCAACTATGAAAATCACAACAAAAAATTGGGCTTTTAGGAGGACCTTGATATAAATGTTTATTGAAATCGAATCGATATAGAAAAAAAGGAGGGAAATCGAGAGCTAACCTAAAAGAGAAGGGCGAGAACTTTGAGAGGGCGATCTATGATTGTAGGAACTGTATTTTATGTCAAATGAAATGGGAATCTATAAATCTATAAAATCCATAGAAGCCATTCAAAAGGTTTTGGTCGATGCACAAGAGAGAGGAATAGAGCGAAAGGTTGCCTGAGCTTTTATAGTCTCTAAAAACTAGCCATCCAGCTCGCTTAAAATAGTTTCAATAAATCTTTAATCAAAATTCGAACTTTTTTCGTCAATTTCACTTACACTTTTTCGCAAAACTCCTTTCCAAAAACCCCTTCAACATTTCAATTGCCAATTACAAAATTCAATTCCAGTGGCACTTTGAGATTTTTCCGACAAGCCTGGCGCGCTCTGAGAGCATTTCAAAGACATTACCATGTCTAGACATTGGGCAAACATTGTCAAAAAAAAAATAAATAAAAAATAAATAAAATAAAAATCAAGAAAGCACACACAGCTACATATAGTAGAAAAAAGCGGACAAAATTCGAATGGCAGGTGCCACTTAGGACTTAAGCTCAATAAGGTGGCCCACAAAGCCAAACAAATCAGAGACTTTGAATTCGATTCAGACTTCGGTTCAGAGACAAAACCAAAACCAAAACCAAACTGGGGGACATGTGCCAAGCAAATTTATAGCACCATTAGGCGGAGAGTGAGGGAGATCGAGAATTGCATCAATATGCAAATAAGTGTAACCGATATTACATGTAATTGCTGCTAATTTGGCAGCCAACACGTCCAACCACGACGTGACATGCTCCACACAAGACCGCCACAGACAGAGATATACCGCCAGAGCCAGAGGTTGTTCAGATCTGACTAAAAGTAGTTGCGAAAAAACAAGTCCCCCTACCCACCCCAAAATGAGTGACTAAGGCTGACGGCAAGGTAAACAGCGTGACAATCCATTCAGTCTGGCAGAGAGGGGGTTAGGAAGGGTACTACTACAGGCTATTGGTGATTAATGCAAAATCAAATTTGGTCCAAAAACCGTGAGAATGGCAGACCAATTGCCATTGATTGAGACAACTCTACATGGAATACACAGAATTGAATTAATTCGGCAGAAAATTAATGGATGGGTATTCTAAGGTTGGATTTGATTGATTTTTGATAATATTCTATGTATTTTACATTGAACCTTTATTTTAGATTAATTATTTAGTTACATTCTACATAACATTAGACTTGATCTAGTTACACCACGCACTTTACTACCCCCACTCATTCGCACCTGTACCGACAAGTGGCCAACAAAAACAACCACAACGATCGTTATCTTTTCTATTTTGCAATCGAAGAGAGGAGTGGGAGTGGAAGACGTAGAGGAGAGAAACGCACGCGGCAGAAGAGGGAGGGGAAATATACAGAAACGTTCGCTCTTCCTTTATGCAATAGATGAAGAGGGAGCAGAGGAGCAAAAAAGCCAAAAGAAGGAAAGCAGAAGAAGAGCATGGAATGAAAGAGCTACTATGTATCTTCCCACCTGCTAGCATGTGTATAAATATTTTTTCCTATTACGAATTTCCTATTCCTGTTTGCATAAAACTAATTTGTTTAGTACAACTAATCATTTTCCATCAAATCATGAAAGATTCCTCCTCTTCTGCCGTCTTCCACAGCCTTCATTCAACTCCAAACACAACTCCATTCAATTCTTTCATTCGATTCGCATTTCAAATTTGTTTGTTTGTTTGTTTTGTTGGCTTGGGCGAATAATTTGCAGAAATTAATTTTATGCAAACATGCCGCCAAATAAGACGACATGACAATTTAATTGGACGCGACATGTGGCCAGCGTTTCCACTTCGAATTGGAAGCCAAAGGCAAGTGGCAGTGGCAGTGGCAACAAGCGCGGCGCCTGCGCAACTGCCAATCGATGGAGAAACCGCACAAAAAACCAACAAAAATTTCTGTTAATTTGGCACTCGCGTGAGTTGTTCTGTAACCGCCCTCGCACCCGCTGCTTGGTGCCATGGCATGGCAATCCATCGACAGATCGAATACCCATTTAAATTTTGAATGGACCTGCACTTGTGTCTCGTTTCGTTTCGATTCGATTCGAGTAAGTATGTGACCCACTCTCTATGTGGCCTTTTGATAGACTCCACAGCTGTACGACTATGTAGTATGATTTCCCCCATATACAGAGTACATATCTCTCTTTTATAGGAACGCCTGTGGCAAAACTGCTGTTTCGGCTTATGTTTCTTTTAAAGAGCAATTAAGTAATAAAGCAATTTCATGTTCCTTTGTTTTGCCGGGGCTTCGATTATTTTGCGGCCGCCGCTGCCGCCGCCTCGCGCTGTTCTTTGACTCACTTAAGAGGTTTTATATTTATTTATTTTTCGGTGGGCGTTTAATTGAATTGCTGGTATGGTGTGGTATGGTATGGTATGGTCTCTCATGGTGTTGCCTGTGTGGGCAATGCATTGTAAATCTCTATAGTTACACAGATCCCACCGCTCAGATACTATATTCGCTCGGGGAGACTCTTACGAGTATATGTATATTTTTTTTCAATTTGTCTGGCTCTTGTAAATGTCGCCGCTGCTGCCTGTCGCCTGCCTTTGAGCATGACGGATCGTTGGGGTCGTCAAAGGGGTTAAGAGTTGAATGTCCCTCCAGAGGAGTCATATGTGTGTTTTTTTTTTTGGATGGTTATTGCTATTTTTTCCATCACACGAGTACGTTATCGTGACTAATTGTGGCATTTTTCTAGCTAAATGCCAAAATATGTTCGTTTAGCTTATTAATAATTTTTTCGGCTATTTTGTTATTTGTTTTTGTTGGCCAATTAATTTTGAGTGGTTTATTTATGGGTGTTTTTCTGCAAGTCAAATATATTATCGCAGCAATTGATAATGTTTGAAGAAATTTACTTAAAGAGGCAACGGTGGTTAGATAATTATGAATATTGCTTTGCGAAAAACACTTGACGAAGATTTCTTTGGAATTTTGTAGGAATTTTCCAATTTTTTATTCAATGTACAGCCATGTGATTAATAATAAGGACACTTGGCCATGCTTCAGAAAATGCTCTATAAAATTACTATTTTCGGGAATTTTGCGGTGATCTTAATTTTTATTAGTAGATTTATGTTTGCACTCCATAAAAAAAAGGTAAAAAACCCAAGTATAATGGTGAAAAATATAATAAAAAAATTTGGTTCGGTGCGTCATTGACTTTTGGCTGTGCGAAATAATAGGGACACCGAAATAAAACATGTTATATTTCGTAAAAACAGCATGTTTCCAAGAGGTGTTTGGTCTTAAACTATTGATTGTAATTAGCTTTTGTAATTTTAGATATAAAAACATCCATAAAACAAAGTTTAGATATTAGGGATGGGAAGGGATGTGCTTAAAAGTACCCAGATACCCATGGACATGAAAAAGTCCACAAAAATGGATTTTCGTTACGGAATATTTGCCGAAACATTGACGTTTTCCAAGGAAAGTAATGATAATGCAATAAAACATACTACTTAGGAGGAAACACGAGAAAAAAAATCAAAAATATTCCGAATTCTGGAGAAAAATGTGATGAGATTCGTGAGGCAAGACACATTTAAAAATTCTTATAATTAAAAAAAAAATATTCTATGGAGGCAAACCCTTCTAAAATATGAATAATACTTGAAGCTAACAATCTAAAGTCCAAGAAACCCCAAAAAGTTCCGTGTCTATTGAATAGGGATATACCAAAGATGATGATGGTCGCTGCGGACCATGAACCATGGCACCCCCATACCATAATTTATGTTTAATAGTTTTAAGTTCTTCAAATTTGTGTTTATTGGTCTTCGCACATGCTGAGCTATCAATCAAAGTAGAAAACATGACATTTTCTCTTATTCGACCAGAGGATGCTGTGCTATTAGTTCTCAGGCCCATGGTTCATGGTCCGCAGCGACCATCATCATCTTTGGTATATCCCTATTCAATAGACACGGAACTTTTTGGGGTTTCTTGGACTTTAGATTGTTAGCTTCAAGTATTATTCATATTTTAGAAGGGTTTGCCTCCATAGAATATTTTTTTTTTAATTATAAGAATTTTTAAATGTGTCTTGCCTCACGAATCTCATCACATTTTTCTCCAGAATTCGGAATATTTTTGATTTTTTTTCTCGTGTTTCCTCCTAAGTAGTATGTTTTATTGCATTATCATTACTTTCCTTGGAAAACGTCAATGTTTCGGCAAATATTCCGTAACGAAAATCCATTTTTGTGGACTTTTTCATGTCCATGGGTATCTGGGTACTTTTAAGCACATCCCTTCCCATCCCTAATATCTAAACTTTGTTTTATGGATGTTTTTATATCTAAAATTACAAAAGCTAATTACAATCAATAGTTTAAGACCAAACACCTCTTGGAAACATGCTGTTTTTACGAAATATAACATGTTTTGTTTCGGTGTCCCTATTATTTCGCACAGCCAAAAGTCAATGACGCACCGAACCAAATTTTTTATTATTTTTTTCACCATTATACTTGGGTTTTTTACTTTTTATTTATGGAGTGCAAACATAAATCTACTAATAAAAATTAAGATCACCGCAAAATTCCAGAAAATAGTCATTTTATAGAGCATTTTCTGAAGCATGGCCAAGTGTCCTTATTATTAATCACATGACTGTATATCAGTTTGAAAGAACGTAAACCTGTTGTAATTTCCTAAATTTCTTTTTTTTAAAGTATGTACATAATAATGAATTCTTTTTGATGCTGATTTGATTTCACTTACCTTCTACATCTTAGAACTATGACCATTACAATAGCACCTATAAGAGCCGATATGATTGAAACTATGATTAGGGTGAATGCCCATCCAAGTTCGCCAGCTTTATCTGCAAATAAAGAGCAGAGAATAAACGTAGTTATATAAGTATCTTGTATCCGTATGTAGGTTGTTTGTGTATTAAAAAAAACTGGATGATCAGATGGGGGGCTTCAACAGTGGATGTAATTTTTTTATGATTATGCATTATTTTATGGCGCGATGGCGATAAAGATGATGAATTCATAAAAAGTTATGAATATGAATAGGAGTGTATACCCATACATACATATGTATGCAGGTGTTTGTGTGTGTGTGTGTTGGGAGTTGGAACTATTGAGAATAAACAGACAACAGAAAGACGAAAGTCTAGGGGCAACTCTTCGAAATTCGTGAGTAAAGTCAATTAGGCCATTTCATATAGTACCCATAAAACTATGGATCCATGGATATGGATTCGAGACTTCAAATTTAAGCTGGAAAGCGGTTCGGTTCTTCTTCGGTTCAACTCCTCAGTACCCACATACTCGTCGTACACTTGCATCGGTAAGTACGTGTATCTGTATCTACGATTATATGGTGCCTGCTGGAACATTTAACGATGCAAAATTAATTACAAACTTTATTATCTTAACAACTTGCGGCTGACGTTGAGTCTCGCTGTTTCTGTTGCTGTCGCTGTCTGCGTCGACGTTGCTGCCCCCGTTGCTGGGTGATTTCGAATATTTATGGCGGCAGTTAAATGAGGCAAGCGCAACGGGAGCAAAAGAGGGTTAAGGATGACTATGGGGGCAGAGGTGGCGGCGCTACAAGGTCTTTCCACATGCGGCGCGTTGCAGGCAGCCTGGCATGGCGGCTGCGTATTTGACCCTTTTTTGCGCCTAGAGAGAGAGAAGACCGTTATCTACAAGTGGGGATCTCCGCTCTCTTTGGGTCTGAGGGGGTGATTGTGGGAGGCAAAAGGTTAAATTCAGCAAACAGAAATCAACACGCATATAAATATTTCAGTCACCCTTTGGCCTTTCCACGCCTTTTTCTTCAGCGATGCTTTATATCTTTTTGATAGAAGCCGAAAGAGGCGTAATTTAAATTGGAATATACTTGTATAATATGAAAAATATTTGTAGATTTTATGCTCTTTCTAGATTGAGTTTATGTGGATTTATTTTTAGTTATTATTATGTTTAAGAAAAATTTATTAAATTCAATTGGAATTCGTTAAGCAAACAGATGAGTAGAAGGAATCTCTCGAAGAGCATCACAATGGCATTCTAGCAAAAAGAATTTAATTTACCCTGCGCTACCAACTGATGAATGGACTGCAAACTTCTTGGACTGCCTTTCTACTCCCTCCCTCCTTTGACCTCATTCACGCTGACACTCCACCAGCCCCCCAGCACCCATTCAGCGTTTGTTATCTCATTGTCAGTTGCTTAAATATTTATGCTGCTGCTGCTGTTGCTGCTGTCGGTGCTATAATGAAAGCAAACGCCATTATGTTTTAGCCCACCCTATCTCAATCCCTATCACTCTTTCCTTTCACTTCTTCCAGCTTTTTCTTTAGCATCTTTCGTTGTTTCTCCCCCACTCTTTCATTGTTTTTGGAGTAATAATTCAATTGGCCAAAAAACGTACGCAGGGCAGCCACGAGGCAAACTCCCGACGCAAACTGGAAACTGCGTAAAGTCTTTGGAAACTGTGTAATTAATAAACCCCCCACCCCCAACCCTCGAACACCCAACCAACTCTTCAGAATATGGGGAGCGAGTGAAAAGCAATTTTCGCTTGAATTGAGGATGTGGGCGTGGTCAGCAGGAAACGCGTTAATAAGCGGCGCCTCACAAAGTGTTAAACAAAAAACATAAAAAAAACACAAGATGAAATGAGAAATAACGAGGAAGCGGACAGCTCCAGTTGTTAATTGAAGTAACAAGAGGGAAAACAAGAGACCAGGCCCCAAAGAGAGATCTTCGACACGAAGAGAAACAAAGCAAACAAAAAGAGCAATCAAAAAGAGAGTGAGAACATTTGACGGCTAGAAAAGAACCACACCATGTCTCTCTCTCTCTCTCTCTTTTATTTCTGTGTATGTGTGAACTCATCTGCATAGCAAACACCTTTTGATGCTGCTAATTAATTATAAAAGAAGTAACTAAGGAGTAAGAGAACTTTTTAAGGGTAATTAAAATCTAAATATATATTCAACTAAAAACAGACTACAACCATTGCCATTGCAACCAAAATACAATGTTCAATGTTTGTGTCAAGTTATGGCCCTGTTCTGTTGCATGCAACATCTGCATTCCAGCCTTATACAGCCAGAGAGAATTTCCCTTCTGTTTCTGCCTGTCCTGTCGGATGCTGTCAGTGCTCTTGTGGATCTGTGAATGTAATTCCCTAAAAGACTCGTAAATATAGCTGAAAACAGCATCAGAACGGGGGGGAGACACATCTCACATCTCAGAGTTTCCTGCGCCACTCCACTCCGATGGGGGCTTCATGCGGCGGCGACTCTTCAAGTATTCAAGTATGCAACAGGTGTGCGCTTGCCCTGCGCTGCTGCTCTACGCAATCCGAGGGGCACAGCGATGCACTCATTCAGGTATTTATTAGCAGACTCCACCATTGACTGATCTATTTGAAGCGGGCTTTCGGCTTACGGCCCTAATTGGCTACTCATTAAAATAATTTTCGTGCAACGTGCAACTGCCACACTGGACAATGGACATGCCGTACCAAAGCTGTAATGCTACAAGCTTTTTTTTTGTGTGTTTTTTTTTTGGCACAGCGCATAAGGTTTTGCTTTATTTTTTTTTTGTAGGTTTTTCTTGGAACTTTTAGGACTTGACACGGAGCAGAACTATTCTTCAGCTGTGCAGCTGTTTTCCATGGAACTGCAGCATGTTGCTGCAGCACCTCCTGCTGTTCCGGCTGCCGAAAGATACATCCATCAGATACAAATGAGGGGGCCGGCGGACCGCAGATGGATGCTCTCTGTGGCTGCTCTGTGTTTCTGTGGCTCTCCGTCTGTCAGCAATTGTAATAATCGATCTGCATGGCAGAGAGATGATTGATGATGTCTCGCTGCCCCCCATCGATGGGGGTTAACAGGCTTGTATTTCTGTATCGTTGTACGTATCTCGAATGCCGAAAGCCATGCGACATAATTTCAAGCACATTATCGCATAATGCATTCGTTTTCGTTTTCTATATGCAAATTTCGACACCACCTGCCACCTAATGTGCCGCCAGCCTGTGCCCCTGCTGCCATACACCGTTTGTAAATCATTAAAATTGGCAACAACCCACATTTGGAGGCGGCTGCCTCCTGGCACTGCAGCTGCAGCACCAGCAGCAGCACAGACAAAAACTGTCGCAGAGTTTTCCCATTTTGCATTTATTTTTTCCTGTTTTAATTGCCTGCCCCGTGAAAAATTCCGCTCAAACGAAACAGAAACTGAAACAGGCGGCTGTAACATTATCTAACATCGCGTATCGCATATCGCGGGTTTTGTGAATGGAGGGTGAATGGAGGCGTGGCACTGGGGCCGCCGGTTGGGCGGCTTGGGGGGCTGTGCCGCATTTCGTGCCGAAATAAAAAGCCATCGACTGCCCAAAGTACGACTCAATTAACAGTCCACACAATTAAATTAAATGGCGATCGCATTTGTGTGTGTGTTTGTGCTACCAAATTGAGCAATTAAGAAATGATTTAGCGACAGTTTTGGGCAGCATTAACCCTGTCCGATAGGCGCACTTTTAATTGAATTTCAGGTACAAGGCAAACATTTAGCTTAAGAGATGGCTTATGGCAGTGAAAACAGGGGCTTAAAGATCTCAAAGTTTCACCGAAGAAACATTTTCGGCATACGATTTTGAAAATCGCTCTAAAAATGCTTCAGTGAAAAAACTCCTCTTTTCACAATAATTGCATCCCTGTAAGTCACCATTTCTTTACTTTCTCTGGTATCATGTGCTTTTCCTCTGTTTTAATTCCTTCCTTAATTTGTTTTGCTATAATTCTAATTTTATTTTTCTACGTTTCTTATGTTCCTATGACAAACAAATTTGGAGTGAAAAACACCCTCGCCCCTTGGAGGAAATTCTCTATGCGTTTTCCTAAATTACCAAACAATTGTTTATTTTTTCTCTTTTTCTGGGGCTCTCTGGTGGTGCGGTGAAATTAAGTCATTAACTGAATGAAAACTGGGAATAAACAAACGGCTAATGACAGCCAATGGTCGGTCGGTGGCAACAGTAGCAGGTTTCGGTTTCTCTCACCTGCCAAAAAGGTAACAAAAAACCCCCGCCCGAGGGAGGGTAATTTTCCAACAAGAGCGACGTGGAGTAACGTGTGGTATTGACCACAAATTAACAGTTGTAACAATCGTCGTCTCCCTCCGCCCCTTTACTGTGCTGCTAGACAACGCCGAATGTTGCCCATAAAAAATGTAACCAGAGGCGGCAGCAGCAGCGGCAGCAGCAGCGGCAGAGGCAGAGGCAGTGGCAGCATTCAGAGAGGTCTGCAGTGCGTAATTACGGTGCACATTACACAGATGCACACGTACACACATACACAGAGCTCGAGAGTCGCATTTGCACTTAATTGTGGCGCTTAATTAGACCAAAAAGGTGCACAACAGAGAGAACACAGAGGGAGAGAGAGGAGCCACAGGAGCCATGGCCCAAAAACCAGACCCCAGACAATGCCCCAAAGCAAATGCTTTTGCTGCTGCTGGCTGAAGAGGAGACTCTCGTGTGTGTCGTGTCTGTTTGAAGAGTGTTGCAACATGCAACATTCAATTCAAAATGTACCCGTAAGAGTATTTACATGATATCCCACTCTGCTGCTGCTGCTTCTGCTCCTCCACTTTCATTCCACATTTGACAACTCAATTTTCCGTTTAATTGTTTTTTGTTTGCAATTCGCATTTCGCCCGCTAATGATGCCCCACACACTCCTTATCCCTTTTGATGCCCCCCAGAGCGTTGCACTTCCCCCCCCAATTAAGTGGAGGTATCCGAAAAAAAAGAAAAAAACCTGAAAATTTGCCAAAAACTCTGAGAAAT